AAATCCATTGGCCATCCAACCACAATACATTTGACTCAGATAGTATAAGGGGTTAACAATAATGCTCTATATATTTGCATATAAATATACAATTTTCTAATGCTTTCTCAGTCAATTACTCTCTTTTAGCTAAACTACTTTGTGAAGCAAATCAGGCAGACATTATCTCAGGACTGGCAGCTATTAATGAAAAGGTTCAAACTTCTGGGGTTAAATGGCTCATCAGAGATCACAAGCAAATAAAAGACTTGACAAACACTGGAACTCAGGTCATTTGGCCCTCTATTCAGTACTCTTGGCCAATAATATAAAGACTACTAATAACAATAAAATCTTACTTGGATCATCATCCATTTTGGTACTGTTTCTCTGTGTGGAAGTTCAGGCTCTAATATCAGAATAGTCCAAACAAACAAGGGAGTAAGGATGTTCTACCAGCCAAGAAGTTTCTTGAATTTTAAAATTAGAGAAATGACACAAATGTACAGAACAATGTACAGAACAAGTTCACTTGGTGGAGTATGTACACTAAGCTTAAAAAAAAGGCTCATAAAAGTAAACACTTATTTTTTAAGCCTCTTTTTAACAATTTACACTCTCAAAATGTCTGGCCTACAGAGAAAGAATTCCCAACAAATAATAATTTACTGAGTAGGTAAAAAAAAAAAAAAAAAAAAAAAAAAAAAAAAAAAAAAAAAGGCATACAGCAGGACCCTTGCCAGAAGCACTTTAAAATGTTTGCAGATACAAGATCAGCATATAACATTCAGACTCAAAATAGCTAGGAGCTCAAAATAAAGAAAACATTCAGTAAGGTGAAGTAATCAGTGAGTGTTTAGTGGGGGGAGGGGGGAGTGAGATGCAGAAAAACATGTGGAATAAATGGATGAACTGCGATTGGAATCCAGGTCTCCAACTACAAACGTCCAATTGTTTTACACCATTCTGCTCTTCCTAATTAGTCTTCTGGCCTCCATTTCAGTACTCCTCCAAGAAATTCTCCATTGTAGTGTTTCCTACTGAAACACAGTTCTGATCGAATCAATCTCCTGTTTAAATCTCTTAAATGACTTGCTATGGCTTTCACAAAAAAAAAAAAAAAAAAAAAAAAAAAAAAAAAGCTGAACCTCTAACATGACATACAAATATGCATCATGATCTGTACTCTGTCCCTTTTCTAGTAGGCCAACCATGTGTACCCTTTGTTTCAGCCATTAACACCTGCCCACAGTTCCTTTATTGCACATGCTACTTTTTCTCTGTTTGCATATGTTATTCTTTCAAGTTAAAATGTCTTTCCCTTGCCTTTTTCAATTAATGGCCTATTATTCAAGCCTTGGTGCAAATGTCACCTACTATATTAGCCTTTCCTTACCACACTCCAGCATCCATTTAGATTTAGATTACTCCTCATGATGATTTCACATCCTCCTCCTATGCATGTTCCATTCATTCCTTATTACACAATTCTTTAATCCATTAATTAACTTCTCTATCTCCGTTCTTCTTCCTCCCCTTATATCACTAGCCCTAAGAATAATGCCTAGCACACCGTATATGCTCAGTAAATGTTTGTTACATAAATTAAATAAAATTCAAAATTTATTGATTAAAATTGGACAGAATTTAGCTAATTAAAAACCAATAACCAAATACTCAGAAAGTTATTTAATAACCACAAAATTAACTTGTTACTTCAGGTTACTAACTTAACTCTACTATCAAAGGGAAAAAAAGGCTTCAGGAATCATACAGAAACACAAAGTCAAAACACAAAAACACCACAGAATAATAAGCCACTCTACACTGTGTGTGTATGAGGAGTGTTAATTCTACCTTAACACTAGCCTCTCTTAATGGTTAGGTCTCTGCCTTAAACATGTGGGATTCAATCATAACCCTTCTAGAGCTCTAATTCTTGATTTCACAAAATACAGCCCATGGTTGACATCAAGATACTAATTAATCTAAGACTCATGCTATTGGATGAGATGCTACAATCTGGGCCTCACCAGATAGTTACATGAAATACAAAGCTCTACTACTAATGCATTATTCAATATATGATGAATCCCAAATAAGTTTGTCTTCATTAAAAAAGAATCAAAATAAAAGGACCACTATAAGGAGGCACAGATAAGGGTAAACAGAAGTCTTGACATGACTCTAAAAAAATTCTCACTAATACCCATCAGAAGCTGAGGATATAAAGAAAAGTATAGTTCTTCAGTATAGAAAACATGCCTGCCTTCTCCAGTTTTCAGAACAATGAGGAACTAAAATGAAAACAACAGAATCATAATCCTCAAACTTTATGAATCCACTATAGGATAGCTATTGAGTTAATTTTTCTACTTAGTGGAAACTTTCACTTTAGCTAATGCTATATTGACATTGAGTAATTAATTTCTTTTTATCCCCAGGTGAATTATCTTCAATATCAATCAGTCCTGTAGTCAGTGCTATTTCCCAATAACTTCAAGTGGAATCAACTGGCATTTCCTGTTTCCTTGCCCTTTCTCCCTTTCCCTCTCCCTTCCCCCTCCCTTTCTCCTTGCCTTTCTCCCTCTCCCCTTGCCCCCACTCTGGTCACCCAATAGTTCTTATTCTTCCATAGGGGACAAATGCCTTTGAGAAACTGATGGGGCCCAGAAAACTGCATGTATCTACCTACCTACACTCAATTTTTTTTCTGAAAATTTCAGGAGTTTAAGAACTGCTGTCCCCCACAATCATCTACACAAATAATTTCTATTACCATATGGCTCTCTTTTATAATCCCACATACAGACGAACACATGCACACAATTAAGGACTATTATACTGATTAAAAACATAATGCCCAAAATAATAACACAGTCTAGATAAAGCTTTATCTTACTAGCAATATTTTAAGAATTTCATGTTAACTTTTATCTAAAAGGCCTTTGAAGAAAATCTTGAACACTTCAATAAGACAACTCAAAATAAGAAGGCATTTATCAAAAGAAGTTTACCAAGTCTTGTTGATTGGTCAACTTGCTTGTCTCAAAATAGTGCTGAAATATTGTCCTAAATTTGCATTTCTGAACTCTGACACATCTGCTCGTAAAATCATGTAAGGCCCAAATGTTATATTTGAGAAAAAAAAAGAAAAATTCCCACTGATATTAACACTTGGATTTAAATACTTGTTCTACTACATCAAGCTATGCTCAACACCAAACAGTGTCAGCTAAGAACGGAAAGTGACACCACCTCATAACTATCTAGTTACCTTGTCGAAGCAAGTAAAACATAAAAGATAACACAGGACAAGTGGCCAAAGAGAAGAGAAGAATATAATCAAGGTGTTATTTACCAACAGGCAGAGATAAGTGCTTACACTTGGGAGCATACTTCCTAAAAGTGAAAGGTTCTTGCTGGTTGCACCAAACTATTCGTGGAAACTATCAAATCACATTTATTTTTGCTTAAACTTTTAATCACTGTTTAAACCACAGTTTTGTGCTGGGTCAAAATTAAAAGGAAATATGACCAATTTTTTTTCTTTTTTCTTTTTTTACCACAAACTGATAAGTTTCGAAATCACAACATCAGAATTTTTAAGTACATTAAACTTTGGTGATACATTCACAAAACTTTTCCAACTTTCATGACTGGTGAGGGTGCCCATTAAGCCCATATAGACAATTTACAAAGACCTTGTGACTCAGTTTCTTCACTTGTAGTTACTGGGGTAACAAGATACATCAAATAACTAAATTCTCAGTTTGCCTCAAGTTAGGGTGGAATTGATGAGACTTTCAAGTTGTCTTTTTTTTTTCTACCCAACCGGGTCCTTTCCCACATAATGGAAGGCTGTATATTTCTTGAAACTGTGACACTTTGACCACTGTTTCCCAATGTGAAAGGCAATTAAGTGGCAAGAGAAGTTACAGCAGGCACACACCAAATTGGCCAGATGCCGTAAGAAAGGCTTCAGTTAAGTCACCCTCTCCTTCCTAATGATAATCAAGTTGCTGGTTAAAACTGAAAACTAGATGAGCAACATGTGGCTCGTGCTTCCGAGCTAGACTAACAACGTTAAGACAGGAGTATCTGCTGGATTTTGTGCAGGCAAACCGTTTCCCCTCACGCCACCCGAATTAGAAAGTTTACCAAAAAAGAGGAACCCGTTTCACTGATGAGTAGAGGGAACTCTAGTATTTCCCAATGCAATACCGGGCCTATAGATTTCATTCCTCTGCACATGAAGTCAGTGGCAGGAAATGGACTGCCACTGGTTCACACACTCAGGACGGTGGGATGTGGGCTGACTGCCTCTGAGAGTTCTGAACCAACTAAGTGGAAGCGCTGGCTGCCTCCGCCTATCACACAGACACTTGGTGGTACCTCACCCAGCCTCCCACTCCCACGCTCCCCCCACTCTTCCACAGAAATGTTTCTTGGGAGAGCACATGGAGAGGCGGGGGGGGAGGGGGGCTCACATAGGCGTCTCAGATTTCTGGTAAAGTGGAAAAACTGGGGGGAGGGGGGCTGTGTTGTGTTTTTTGTTTCGTGGGGTTTTTTTATTTAGTAAGTCTGTGGGTGGGCTCCCAAGTTGGACTGCGGGGGAGGGCGGTTTCCCAGCCCAGACCCTAAAAAGGAACCTTAGAAGCAAAACCCAGCAACTGACAGGAGTGGTAAGGGAACAGAATCGCGCGAAGAAGGTTTGTGCCCACAAGTCAGACAAATAACACACCCTGCCCAGTACTCGGGGTCTCCCCAAGTTGGGGTGGGGCCTTTCTCCTTCCCAGGCTGACACGAGTGAGAAAGGGGTTAAGTGGAGAAGGGGGTGCTCTTCCGCCCCCACGCCGTCTCCGCGCCTCGGCGTGGCCGCTCGGAGCGGCTCCCCGAGTTGCACAGCGAGGTCGCGGTCACCCTTGGGAGGGGGCCCCGGGTGCTCCCGCGCTCAACGGCAGGAGGATCCCGGGGCTCTCGCTGTCCCCAAGGCCGGCGGGGGCTGCGGGAGCACTCACCAATTTAGGTTTGTTTTTCGTTTCCTCTTCGTTGGTGGCCCGGCTCCCCACGCTCCGCTTGTTGCTCCGGCCCCCACTGGGCTCCTCGCCGCCGCCTCCCGCTCCCGACGCCGCCGCCCCGGGCTGCTCCATCTTTCTCCGGCCCTGTCACCTGCGCCCTGTCACCCCACCTCGCCTCCACTGAGGAAGCCCCTCGGGGTGGTCCCGCGGCCCCGCGCGGATTCGGGTGCACCTCTCCCCGGGAAGGCGTGTGTCTGTCTAGGGAGCAGCAGATCTCAGGCCCTTGGGACTCCGGGATCCCAGGCACCCCTGACGCCACACGCCGTTGCCACTACTCTGCGCCGGGGCAAGCCCTGCCCCTGAGCAGCTGCAATTACCACTACCGCCGCCGCCCTCAGGGCGGTGTTTAGGGTGGAGAAGTGCGTGCCTATCTCTTTAAGAGGCCTCCACACACGTGATTCATCAAAGTGCCCGCAGTCAGCGCCTGGGCGCCGAGAACTGCTTCCTACTCCCCGTGCCAGCCGCCTGGCCACTGCCACTGAGCATGCCCGGCGCGGTGACCTGGCCCCCAAGGAGAGGACTCTAAGCTGTGGTTAAGCACTGATTTCACGTCCAAGGGGCCTTGCGTGGGAAATGGGAGGGAACTAGTCCAGAGAGCGGAGGTGTAGCCCATTTTAGAGATAGGGAAACTGAGGTCTGTGAGGATTCACGTGTGAGTTTCACTGCAGAATCTACCTGAGTAACAGCTTTCACTGGTGTGGGCCAGAGCACCTTCCCTGGGCAATGGCCTTGCTGGGGGTAAAGGGGTGTCCTTCTATGCCCTGTGGGAGGGGTTGTTTGGCAAGGCAACCGGCATCCCTTAGAGCCCTGATGAATTGCCTATACTAGAGGGTCAAAGTGGAAAGAGCAGGTACTTTCTATTGCCATGACTGCATGGCGCCAAAACAATCCTCTTTCTTTATTCCCATGCTGCTGGATTGTAGAAGCTGCAGGCACCTGCCACTTAACCCCCAAGTGGATGTAAGGCTTTTGAACCACAGCACCTATAGAGAGCGAACAATTGGATTGGGTGCTATTCCTGGCTTCCTGAACTATTTTAATGTAGGGTTGTTGTGGTGAGTGAAAATGGTCACGTGTTTCCAAACTTTGTTTAAAATGTAAACCTCTCTAGACAAATGCTGGGTGTTTTTGTGCAGCAGCAGCAGGGCACTGCCAGTATTGTTAGTCATTAAACCTTGAGTTGTCAGGAAGAGGCCCACGCAATATTTTTCCATCCCTTTTTAACAGAGCCCTTTAATAAAAATAATGTTCGAACTAAGAACATTCAAGGGGCAGAGCAGAGTTTGAATGAACCACAGTCATAGAATGAAAGCACATTATGCTAAGGAAGCTACATGAAATGTTAAGTTCAGATACCAAGTCTAAGCATGTCCTTATGCCTGTCACTCTGATCTCTCCAGGATATGACTCCTTTTGCCCTTCTCCCCTTCCACCTAAATTCAATTCTGCTGAATCTATTTTTTATGAAAATATTTATTGAGTGCATTAGAATAAATTGGACTATGCTATAGGCTGATGAAGCAATTAACTTGGATAGTAGAGTGAAAAGAAAGTTAGTTATCAACAGTTTTAATCCCTATGCTGCCATTAGCTATCTTCTTAATCATGCTGATGGTAAACTACGCAGGGACAGCATAGAAGAGGGAATGCAAGCTCCCAAAGAGGGTGGACAGGAAGCCCTATGTTAAATTTGGTTTGTTGACGTTCCTCTTTGACTTAAATTTTGATGTATATTTAGAATTTGACGTACTACACATGTGCGTGCATGCACACACATGATTTAAATTTCTTAAATGTCTCCCCACTGAAAAGTTGCATAAAAATGAATGCTGCAAAAAGATGTGACCTGTTTGTCCAATGCTTTCACGTAATTCCTGTTTGAGAAATACAGATATTGGCTGTTGCTGGGAGGTTTTCAAGCTCAAATGTTGCCCCCCCCCCAGGCCGGTTTGGCTCAGTGGATAGAACATCAGCCCTTGGACTGAAAGGTTTCAGGTTCGATTTTGGTCATGGGCACATACCTCAGTTGCAGGCTCGATCCCTGGCCCTGGTTGGGGTGTGTGTGTGAAGCAAGCAATTGATGTGTCTCTCTCACATTGATGTTTCTCTCTGTCTCTCCCCTCTCTTCCTTTCTCTCTAAAAATCAATGGAAAAAATGTCCTCAGGTGAGACTAATAAAACAAAAACAGATGCTCAGTAATCTACTCAGTAAGACCTTTACTGAACTCCTTAGAGTACACCAGGTGATATAAAAAGTGCGGTGGGTTATACAGATGAAGCCCACATTGTTTTTGCCCCTTTGAACCTTACCGCCTACTGGGAGAGGCAGACATTTACAGAGCCACACTTCAGCACAACAGATATGAACTGGGAGCCCAGGAGCACAAGAGGGAAGTACCCACTAGAACACATGTGTCAAACACAAGGCCCGCGGGCCAAATCCGTCCCGCCAGGCCTTGCAATGTGGCCCGCACCGCGCTGTCATCACTGCACTCCGCTGCGTTTCCATCACAATGACAGTTTATGACTGTTCAGTAAACCATTTGGCCCACGATTTAGGCTGGATTTTAGATTTTGGCCCCTTCTCTGATTGAGTTCGACACCCCTACACTAGAATGTCAGAGGCTCCAGAACACCTTCCCAAAGAGAATGATGTTTGAGCTGAGTCTTCAAAGTGTAAAGTCAGTAAGTACTTCTTGACAGCCTACTGAGTGTTAGGTACTGTGCGAGGTTTTGTGGGTATGCTGGTGAACAAGACAGATGTAGTTTGCTCTTACAGAACTGTCCGGCTATTGGGAGTGGTATTAAGCAAAAATATATTGATTTATTACGAAGCAAAGAAGGTGAATGAAGAACATTTTAGGCAAACAAAATAGCAATAGCATGTGAAGAGACCCTGTGGTTAAGAAATTGGGGCGTGGGGGATTGCTGTTAGCAAGAGAAGCAAAGCACATAAGCAGCTCCCAGATCATGAAGGTCTGTAGCTCCCATTGGTGTGGTTTTAAAAGCGACGAAAGCATTGTAGTACAAAGACTTCTGTTTGAAGGATGAAAATAGATATAAAAATGGATTGCCATTATTTTGCATCTAAGATTGGGCTTCACCACCCTCACTCAGGCCAGGCAAAGCAACATTTAAAATCAAGTTAAAGGTACATGTAAAACATACATAATCTTCATTGGGAAAGTGAAAGACTGACCCTGATATGGCTTACACTTGACTTTATGGTGGTTATCTCAGCCCCATCTGAATTCTTGATGTTTGTTATTCAGCATTTTGCTCTAATTAATTACAAAGGAACACCCTTCCTTCAGGCATCAGGGTCATTGGCCTCTCTTGGAAGTTGATACACAAAGGAGCCACTGCTCTCCTGCAAGAACACTGTGTCCACTGATTAGAACCAGGCACCACACCAAGTGCACTCCCGAAGCTGCTCTGACTGCAGCTGCGTTTCTTGATTTTTACTTTTCTGAGACACAAGTAAGCTCATGGATGGAGAGACAACTTTTCTCAGGTGCTGAAGAAAGAAGGAGGTTACCACTGTCAGTTGGGATACCAAACATGTATGTTAGAGCCACTGATCTTTTGGTCTCTCCGTCTGGCCTCTCATGAGGCTAGCACCCAGTGAATACTAAAAAGCCAGCCCTGGGAGAAAAGAAGGATAAAAGGCTGTTAGGCTGTAGTTATTTTCAAATTGATCTTAGACCATCGACCCAGAGGTTTCTAATGATCCTTCTCCTGGCTTTCTGTGTCTCCCTTCTGCTGCGTGTTCTCATCTAAACAACCTGGGCCATTAATAGAGAAATTGAAGGAAATGGGGATTAAACAAATATGAGAAGTAACCACCTTCAATGTCATGGAAAAATATTTATGAATAAAAGGTTGCCTAAAATTAACAAGTATTTATTAAGTATGTGCTATATAGCCAGCACCACACTAGATATCCAGCAGATAAAAAAGTACCAGACATTCTACGATATTGTTACATGTGTCTTCCTAAAAAAATCTCTTGTTCAGCAAGATTGCACACTAAAAATAACAGGACTTCTGGGGGAAGTATGGTCAGGAAACATCATTTAAATCCAATGCAACTAATCAGAGCACTAATGGAACCAATAACTATTCTAATGAACACACTCACGAGATTACATCTCCACTGGCTTTTGTATCTACCATCACAGTCATCAATGCTCAGTAATCTTCTTGCTTCCTCTTTCCCAATGTGGGTCCTCAAAGGTAGTCACTTTGAATAGATGTCATTTTCATCAGAAATTACAATCTAACTGAGGAGGGCCCAACTTTTAAAAAATGCATAGTGAAAAGTCTTCACAGCTTCATTATCAATACTCACAGCTTCATCACATAGTCTAATGTTGTGGAAATTTCAGTTGTTGAAGCCATTAAACCAGTCACACTAAAGGGGCAGAGTCCTTATGCAGAATTCTTCTCTTTTTCTAAAAGTCTTCATATATTGCTAAGACTTCTTAACTGTGAGAAAGCTTGCTCCTGATCACTGCAAAATTAAAAATGCTAAGAAAATTTATCCATGAACCAACCAGCTGAACTTATTTTGATGTCATTCTTCTATTTACCAATCGCTAATGTGCTATTCCTGGTACATAAACACTTACAGTGGGTCAGACTGTAAAATGTAAAATCTCTGCCATTCATAGATACCAAATCTAGTCTAGAAAACAAATAAGAAAACAAATGTGGGGGACAGTAAGAGGGAATTAGTTGACTAACTCGGAGGTACTGACTCTAAATTGGACATAATATGGGGAAGGGGTAAGGAAGTTTTCAAGGAGGATGTAAAACTTGAGTTCATGAGCTATAAGCAGAAATCAGATTTGAATGGGAAAAGCAAATAAAGGAAGCAAGGAAAAGACAACGCATGGAATGGCCTGGAGACAATGCCAAAGGATAACGTTGAGAGGCCCCAGGGCTTAACTGGAATGGTGAGAACATAGATGTTGAATAATAGTAGGAAGCATGGTTATCCCCATAGAATTTTCCTGCTATGTGATCAAATTTGAATGTAAGATTCAGCAGTAGTCACTGATAAGGATCTTTAGCAGGAATGTTATAAAATAGAGAAGTTATTTTAAGGAGCTGGTCTGGCAGAATAATTGTCTCTGCAGAAGATTGTCAAGCTTAGTCTTTCTTAGTACAGGTTAATTTTTTCTAAATAAAACTCTTCATAGAACCCCAATATACACAGCAGATACAAAATCAAGCTGACCTGTTTGAAATTAGCATGGAGCAGAAACGATTGCCTGGCTCATGTCCACTGAGCTTCTTTCTCATCCTTTGAGGCCCCACTGCTGAACTGGAGCTAAAACT